CGTATTTTGGGTTGCGTAAAATTAATTTTCAGAAGTAATTCTCTCGTGACTAACCCTGTATAAAATTACTTTTTTTCACTAGCAGCCTGGACGCATGCAAATGTCGACTCATTTAGTGGTAGCAAATTCAACTTTTGCTACCACGGGTTCAAAAAGAAAAATTGAGGTTATGTACGCAATGTTTGATGTGATTATTTCTTAAAAAATGAACAAATGTGTGCTACAAACATTACTTGAGTATACGCAGGGTAGTTGGTAGACGGTAGAAGATAAAATGATTAACTCAGCCACAAGTATAAACGGTTTTCTTTGTGTTGAAGATTTAGATCAAGTTTGATTAGAAATCAAAACAAAATCACGTTGCGTCAAAAAATTGAACGTTTATTTTTCAGTTTATTGTCTTATGGTTTCTACTAGTGAAAAAAATAGTATATTAACCACGGTTGCAAAGCCACTTCTAGACCTCGCACTTAGAGCCCTCGACGCTGCGCGTCTCGGGTTCTAATTTGCGCTCGGTCTAGAATGCTTGGCTCTGCAACCTTGGCTAATAATATACTATTTTTTCGTAATCTACATCATAAAAAAAATATTTTCCAAACACCCGGTATATCGCTACAAAACAAAGTATGTACAAAATTTCGTAAATAAAAATGATCTTGAAACTTTTCGAAGTAAACACAAAACAAAACTTTTTTCGTTTTAATAAAAGAATTACTTCTATAATATTATGACTGAGGTTTTCTCGTTAAGTGACCAATGATGGTCGAAATCCAAATATTTGATAACGTAGAAAAAATAAAACTTTTAACATTAAATGTCAGATTACTTTACGTCGGCTACCAACCAGGATTTGAACATGAGTACTAACGTATCTCCATCGAATGTTCTGCTCGCGAACGCTTCCTAGTCCACAGAGCTTTTGACGATACTCCCAGTCAGATGAGAAGTTTCGATCAAAATATGTATAATAAAAATAAATGATGCTAAAAGAGACAAGATGAAAACATCTAAAGTCAGAAACAACACGAAAGTTGTTATAGATCAAAATATAGCCTGATGAGTGGTAGTAACTACTATAAATATTTAATAACAAAATTTTTAAGAAAATCGTTAAAGAGAAACAGGATTTCAAAACAAGAAGGAAAATTTTACTTTTCAATGTTTCTTTCAAACAGAATTTTTTGGCAGGTAACCTCTTTTACACCACCTGAGAAGGCCAAGAAATTCTTCATATTAAGCATTATATTATTTTAAAACAGCATTAATTTTGATCTTAAAAAACTTACAACCTTGCCTCACTAAGAATTTTGTTTAAAAATGGTCAGGTAAGGTAACAGGAACTCCAACCCACCTTCTTCAACACTTCTAGTTTTAGGTATTGTGATAACCCAAACATCCCGCCTTAAATTGACATGTGAAAAAAAAATTAAAAGCGCGCGAAAAATTTAAAAACTCAAAAATGATGAGAGAACAAAATTTTAATAAGAACTGTGTGCAGCGACCGCGGCACCAGAGCGCTATAAGAGTGTGGCGATCGAACTATCTCAATTTCATTCTAGAACCCAGCAAAATTACCCATAGCGGGCGTTGTAGCACGAGCGGAGTTTGGGGCTCCTGGTCGTGGCTGTTCTTCCACCGTGACGGTGATTCTATTCTATCGAGAAGGACATGCCACCCACCACCCCTCTATGACCAAGAAACGTGCCGCGCGAAAACAGGGCGTTACGGTCACAAACTCGTCCCTGACTTCTATTCAAGACCTGCATCTTTTATGCAGATGGTGCGGCCGCCAGTTCGACAAGGAACCGCTCACTCCGCTTCCGCTACGTGTCTCTGTGTTATTTAACCTCAATTCCATTTAAATGTTCAATTTCTATATCTCTGACATTCAACTACAACTGAACAAATGTTAAAGTTTCAAAAGAACAATAAACAACATTCAAATTCGCCATGCACTCTTGTGAAATTTGAAACAGCAAAGAATTATTATCTGAGATTAAGATTGGAGAGCAGACAATTTTATGATGGAAGCATTAATCAACAAAACATTTACAAAACAAAAACTTAGCAAGGATTTATAAAAACAAAAAAGATCTGGTGTGAAATAAAACTTGCGCAGACAAAAAACATTACGTGAGGTTAGAAACTGCAGAGTATGAAAATTTACGTTCAATTTAAATTATACAGCAAAGAAAATTACTGAGGCCAAAATCGTGAGATAGCGAAAAATTGTATGAGGTGAAAAATTGCAAAGCTAACAAAATTACATGAATTTAATATTTGGCGTCCATTCGAGTTATTGGTTAATTTTCAAGAGTGAAGGGAGTGGAGGTTCAAAATGGCGTCATTTAAAAAAATGCGTCAAAATATGTTTCCCAGAAATGTGATCAATCCTGTGGCGCTGTGCAAATAACTGTCTAAATCAAAGGAATAAATACAGGAATTATCTGATGTTAAATTATGCCACACTTTATCAACGATTCAGCAAAGAATTTTACATTATGTTAAATTATGCCACACTGTATCAAGGATTCAAATAAAGAATTTACATTATGTTAAATTATGCCTTGATCCAAGTGACTGGCTACTTAAAACCATTAGCTTTGAGAGTTTATATCGTGGACTGTCAACAACTTATCTCAAACAAAACCAATGATAAATAACACAAAATGCATTCCTCGTTACGAGAATTACATTTCGGTGGTGTAATTTTTAGCGTTGCGAGAAAAATATGTCTTGATGATGTGTTGATGATATGATGATAATGACGACGATAACTGCCTAAAGGGAAGAATTTATAATCCCCCCCGTATCTCACTCCACGATATTATGAATTCTACCGTATTTCCACGGTCCTTTTCCCAGAGTGAAATAACGTTAGGTTATATAACTATTTGCAATTTTGTGTGAGGAATTAAGAAGTGTTATATTGTAACATTTGAGTATAAGAATCCAGAAACCTGATTCAGAATTCGGTAAACAAAGAATGAGTTCTGACTAAGTGAATTTCATGAAACAAATTCCTGATTGTTAAATTGTGTTAGAACTAGTTAACGATTAAACTCCTAACATGAACTGTGAATTTACAAACAATAAAACAAATTTACATATGTGTTAGCGTCGGTCGAAAATTCGGCTATTTCCGCTTGAAAAGTTACAAGAATTAGCTACGCGAGTTGGGGAAAACTGTGGCATCATCGTTGTTACAATCAATTTTTGTTAAACAGAGGGTCTTCCTTTTGTATTAACTACCAAACCAACTAAACTTAACCTAGCTAACTCACCGCGTGGTTTTCATTCACAATAACAAACCAAAAGTGACGCCTCTCGCCTCTATAGCCACCACATCAACTTTCTACCAACCCTTTCAACAGAAAATCCCCCAGGAGAGCTACCAACCACGAGAAAAGAACTTAACGTGCACATGGTTGCCTATGTTTAACGATTTTCGTGATTGATTTTTTTTTAATTTTAATTCAAATTCGGTCACCACAGTATCTCATTAGTTTTTGCTGCCTCCCCATTTGTTTAGGCTTTTCAATGCTTCATTAAATTCTTCTTCTGAGATTTCTTCTTTATTTATTTTGTTCTTTCCTTTGTAGACTAGCTATCGGTTGTCCTGTTTTCAATTCGTTCTTTTCTATACCTTTTAATAGGAGCTCCCAAAAGAATGATTTCCATTTTTCCTCTATTTACGTTTTACTTTTCAGTACTTTTCTTTCCTTATCCTTAACCCACTGTATTTCTGTCCATTTTTCTCGCATAAGCTTTTCAATATTAATTAATTAATGTTTGCTTGATATAAAGCGAAGGTACAAATCAGCAAAAATCGCGTAAGTAAGTATTTTATTCTATTATTTTTATTTTATTCTATTATATCCAATGTAAATTAGATAGCAAGCAATTGGACCATACTGTAGCGTACGGATTTAATGAAACAGTCTGCAAGAGAGTTAAACACGATTTTGGTCAATTGTATAACAAGTAGAACAAAAACAAGGTATATTAATTCTGGGAGGGATCTGAATGGACGCGTTGGAAATAACGAAGTAACATCTGGAAAGTGCGTAGGAAGATGCGGAGAGAGTGAATTAAATACTAACGAACTAACGGTCAGAGAATAATAGACTTTTGCATAATAAATGATCTACAAGTTGCAAATACAATTTTTGGACGTCCCGATGTACATAAATTTACAAAAGAGGTTCTTGTCAATGATGCGAACTAGGAATTGTACATTGGGGCCTGCTGAAACTAGGAAAAATTTATCTAGCACGATACTACTAAAAATTACAATTTAAAAAAATACCCTTGGGTGTTAATATAAACTTTGAAACTAACAATTATATTGTCCATTATTTAAAATATGGCTTTAAAAGTTATCGGTATGAATTACTGGTTGCATAGACCGTCCAAAAATGTGTTGATCTATAACTTGAGTACGTGATATTACAGATTTTCACTAAATTTTTTTGTATAAAAATAAATGATCACTTTGACCAACATGTTAAAAAAATATGTGAATTCCACTTCATTCTATGAAAGTCATCTAGTTAATTTTTTTACATATTTTTTAAAGTTGCATTTTTCGAAAAATCTAATTACTTTTTCTATAGTAGGTACCATGGACGTGAGTAAAGGCTGTTCGGCTTAGTTCAAGGTGAGTGTCCTTTATTAATTATTTATTATTTATTCTTGTACTTAAATGGGAGTAATTGTTTCGAATGTTACGAATTAAATAATAATATTTTAAGCTCATTATGTCGTAATATCTCCCTAATTGTAGTCATGTGTTCCTTTAGAAACAGAACGCAGATGTTGCTAGTCGAGATTGAATTTCAAGTTAATTTAGCAAATATACAATTATGTCCATTTTAATTAGGAGTTGTGAGAACGACTGAAGCGGTAATAATAAACTTCGCGAAAACAGCATTTAATTATAATTCACTTGTGCTCCGTAGTGTCTCTGAATGATTGGATTGTTAATTTAAACAATGACCGGTTTTGAAAAGAAATAATTTAATATCATCTTATACAACATTTTCAATCAATTATATGATTCTTAGAAGAAAGCTTTACATAACATTATAAATAAGACTGTTAATATAACATCTTGACATCATTAAAGCAATATAAAAATTATATAAAAGTATACAGATAAGTTCGTAATACAGCCATAAATCTTGTAACAAATTAAGAGTAGCGTTACGAATATATACATCACATGATTTACAAATAACGGAGCCCTAATAACGACGACAAATAGTTAATAATAATAAATAACACAGATCTTTCGAAAAAATTCAAAAAAGTATTTGTACTTAAATGAGCAATAAATAAATTAACTAAACTGAGACGAGTTTAATCACTCCAAGACCCCGGCGTCCCAGGGCTGTCCAAATTGCTCGACGAACTCCCGAAACTTTCGCACGCCTCCAGAAATAGATCAGGGTTGACCATCTCCATTACTCTCCACGCCAAAGTTTTGCCTAAACAAAATCCCATCAGTTTAAACTATCAAACCGTAAATTTCTTTCTCGCACAATCGTGGTGTAACAATTGTGATTGTTGGCACAACCTTTAAGCTGAATATACAAAACTGTGGCTGCTTTCCACAGAAAACAAAAAAAAACAGTGTTTATGTATATTATATATCTTTTTTTTGTAAAGGCGACTGTACGAAAAACGTTTGGTTAGCAAGTGCGTTGTAGCAATCTCGGGATATGAAAAACTCGACTATGTTACAAGGTACTTGCTCATAGTGCAAAGTTATTGTTCATACCTATGTGGACGCTCTCTTTGATCTCCTCGGAATTTTCGCAGTAATGCAACGCTGCCTTTCTCAGGTTCTCGCAGCGGCACTGGTCGGCCAAAAGGAGTATGTTGGCAACGTTGCTCGGCGTGAGACTTTCAAGGAGCGTCCTTTCGCATAGTGCAGTTAATCCTGGCAGTTGGTATCTTGTTGACAGAGGCAACAGCTTGTTTGCATGGGTGTCGGCGTTATCAACTTTGTCTGTGTAAATATATCGCACGAGTTCCGTTATTAAACAGTGTTGGAAATCTGACAGATCTAGTTTGTACTTGATGTTCGGCAGCTTATCGTCTTCGCACTTTTGCAGTTTCGCCGCGAGCTTCCCGCTTCGAGTTCGCACGATCCAGCTGTGAACCTTGATGGGGGATTCCCCTTCCTTGGAGGCGCATTCGACGACCGTGTCTTTGTCGTCGGCCTTCGAGAGCAGCCTGGCCATGTCCTGGGATAAACTATGGACCTCCTCGTCGCTCTGGATTATTTGCAATTTCAGCATAATACTGACGTCTTTGGCTGGAATTTGGCAAATTAAAAAATCGTTGCGCGGGATTGGGGGCGTTTCACTTACAGCTATCTAAATGCCTGTCTAGAATTCCTAAGCTTTTATAACCTACAGAGAGCAATTCTTGGCTGTTTTGGAGATTTAGGACCACGCTGGAGATGGGGCAGCATTCCCAGTGTTTGATGCTCGCGTCCCATACCCCAAATTGGAATCTTACTCTTGCTTGGCCGGTTTCCTCGGTCTCGCATCCGGTTAAATTTAAACATACCACCAAGGGGTTGGTGATTTTCTTGCCATTGGGGCCTGGAATGGAGATACAACGATTATAGGCAAATAATCAAGCGGGCGCTGAAATATGCTCTGCGAATACCGTACTATCTGCGTGGTTTTAGCAGTGGCAAATGTTTTGAAAATTTAACGTGGGCGATTTTAAAAGCTTAAAAGATAAAAACTCTCGAGCTGAAGCTCTGGGGCTTGTATTAGATAGATATCTTTTCGGTCGTAAAATTACCAATCGAATTTTTTTTTAGAACGTATTCATGGATTATTATTCTCTATGTATTAGAAATGTTACCGATAAATATTTACGGATTTGCAAAAAAATATTGTTAACTGACAGAATTTCTTATTACTTATCGGAATATCAATAAATCGAAAAATTAAGAAATCAAAAGTTTTAATATCCGGAAAGCAGAATAATCAAGCAACTGGAATATCAAAATATTGAAAAATTGGGAAATCAAAAACTTTGAAAATCTAAAAATTGAATAGTTGAAAAATTTTTAAAATCGAAAACCGTAAAATTTAAGAAGTCGAAAAATTCAAAAATCAGAAAACTCAAATTCAAAAAATTGAGAAATCTAGAAATCTAAAATTTAAGAAACAGAAAAATTAAACTGTCGAAAAATTGAAAAATCGAAAGATCGAAAAACCAAAATTTCGAAACGTCGAAAAACTGAAAAATCCAAATTGGAAACATCAAAAAATCTAAAATTTAAAAACCGAAAAATTGAAAAATCGTAACAGTTGAAACTCGAGACATCGAAAACTCTAAAAATTGGATGGAAGAAAAATTGAAAAATCCCAAAACTCAAACATAGAAAAATCTAAACATTGAAAAATCAAAAACCTGAAAAATCGAAAAATTGAAGGATTCAAAAACGTCAATAATTGAAAAATTGATAACTCGAAGAATTGAAACATTGGAACACTGAGAAATCAAAAATGAAAAAGTCGCCTTAGCCTACGTTCGGGAACTAAAAGTTACATATAGTATACAGTCCCAATTTATAAATTAAAAAAGTTATTCGCTTAAAAATTTTAAATTAACGACCAACTGCATTTACTACTTTGTATAAATTTACGAACTAAATATAGTATGAGAGGCCCACAAGCACTAGTGAAAATGGCGGCTTTGACTTTGAAACATATTAAATAAAAATAGAATCCAGACGTAATTTTAGTTGTCCTACTTTACATCCCTTTCATTATTAATACTTCCATACTTTAGTACGAACAGCAACATTTTGCGTGACATTTAGTCTCCTCACTCAATATTTGTATCGGTTGTGTCAGTTTTATAAATAGCTTTTACTACTTACGTTTCTGATAAGCTCGAACGAGCCTTACTTTTAAGTATTGTGAATCCCAATTAAATCGTTAAATACTCCGAAAAGCTTAATTACAGCAAGTGTCATTATGGAATTCAAATAAATTTAAGGCACTAATACCCTTAAAGTCAAGTATTGATACTACGACAGAAGTCATTTCCGTCGTGTACGTTATATTTAGAATTGATGCGTTTTGAAACTCGTCTCGTGTTTTCCAGCCGGCTTTTTCACGTTTTACAGCAGTGATCACCTCGACAGCGGAATCCGATCACAAAATCGCAAATTTGCGCCAAAACCAATAAACCGCAGATCCGACAACTGGCATAAATTCAAGCACGTGTCAGGCACTCACCTTTCCAGAATCTGACCGAGATGTTCCAGAACGTGGTCATCCCGTTAACCGAACATCTGAAAACAGGACTATCCACGAAGTCTCTCTTGGCGATGGTCTTGTGGAAGCGCTTGATCCTCCAGTTCTTCCTGAAGACGACTTCCGACGCGACCGGTACCTCGATCTCTTCGGATACCGTACCCACCTCGAGCTCGATGGGTTCCTTGTGGGCGGTTTTCGGTTTGGTAGGCATTTTCATTCTGTAACAATGGATAGATTCTGTTAGGTTTCGCTCGACGCTTGCGAAATTTATACTAACGTTAGCTTCACCATCGCGCCGCCGTTCGTGGCAACGCCGCAAATATAACTAACCGAAAAAAATTGCCAGCGTTTATATAAAAGTCCGAAACTTTGTTGACATGCTTATTTGTGGGTGCTATTTCTGGCTAGGAGTTTGGTAATTCATGTAAATTTTATAGTTGTGCTAAAATTAAACCAGAAATTTCGCGAGTTTATCTTTGACGTTTGGTGATAATTCTGTTAATTGGAATTTTATTATTGACAAAGTGGTTACGCACTTTGGAAAGTCGACTGTTGTTTTTCGGTCGATTGTTGGTACTGAAAGTGCAACTCGACCTATCTCAGTCACTCTGGACGTGCGTGAATTTCGCGATATGATATTATCGCCAATTGAAACCGCAGTCGTAACAATGAAGTTCTGCATTTACATAATATGATGTATTTGCTTAGCAAACAGCACTTAGCGGCTTAATTAAAAGCCGAACACGCTCAAACCCACTAACAAGGTACTTGTATTTCGGGAAAAATGACTACTGACGGGTTACCGGAACTTGGATGAAAGCACCGTTCCGTTTTTAGCAATTCGTGGAATTGTTGGACAAAAATCAGGAAACGGATGCATTTTGTGAGTTTGTTGATCTGTGTGATGAAATTTCTGCCTGACGACGGGAAACAATGGCGTGATCGCGAAAAACAATGGATTATGAGGATATTTGATAAATCAGTACTTAATGCGACTATTTTCAGATTCTTTTTAAGTATGTTTTTGTGATAAGCGTTAAAAATAGGAGTCGAGTGGTGTACAAAGTCGGTTGGAGTTTTTTGTAACTCAATGAAAGTTTATACAAGATAGACGCGTTATGTAAAACGATTTAAATCACCTGTTTAATTTGTGATATAGGTTAAACTTAACCTTTGGATTCTTTGTATAAATAGAGTTCCAAATAAAATCGGAGTTGAACTTTACTCTACGATTCTCGGTGGAGTTTCCGAGCACTTTTAGAGTGAGGTGAGTTTGACACTGACCAGATTAGTGACGTCGTGGATGCGTACCTTGAAGCGGTTAATTAGAGCGGAACCTTGCTAAATTTTAACAACGCGTGACTTGCATTTGCTCTAAAGTACTTTAAAGCTTTCGCAAAATTCTTGCAATGGCTTAAAATGTCCAAAGACGAGTTTCCATTGTCTATCGTGAAATTTTCGTAAGACAATCAAACAGAGGGAATCCCACTTAAAACGAAATATAAATACACGAGTGACCTGTTTGTGAAGTACCAATGCTTCTTTTGTTTGATTTGAAAAGTTATTATGTTTGGAAAACTTATACAGTGTCAACAGTTGAAAAGACAGACAATACTATCTATAACCAGAAGATGTACTTGTAGCTTTGTTACGTGGTTGGATTTTGTTTTATCTTAAAAACATGATCAATTTGGCTTTTGTAAGTCAATAAAATTTGACAGTGATCTCTGTGGAGCTTAATGATAATGTTGTCGTTGACATGTGGAAAAACCACGATTTCCACTCTGACCTACTAATTTTGGATGAATGAAGTGACAATTGAAAGAATAAAGAGTCTTTTGTTTAAATTGTTAAAATTACAGCCCTGAACTAAATTTCAAAATGTAGTCGCCCTGATAAAGCTAATACAGTATTTATTGTTGTAATTTTTAGGGCTTGAATAAACATTAGATATTTTTTCTTCTAAATCAGTACTCAGTTAAGTTAACAATTTTGCAGTTACTGGTCAAAATTTGCGTGAACATTTTCTGTTGTAGAAACAAACAAACAAATAAGTGGTGACGCAAATGATTGATTGATTTGTAGCTTACTTCAAGTGAAAGATATCAACGATAATCCATTCAATGAATTTTGAAAAAACAAACCATAAAAATTTATCTGAATAGAGTATTTTTAACGAATATTGAAAGGTTTGATGTATGACTTAGTATAAGTACACTTACACTTACGATGCTTTAAATATTCACTTTTCAATTATATATCGTCGTGTACATCGACCTCACAGTTTAATGCCCGATTTGCAATGAATTTGATGATTCAGTTTTACTGTTACCCCCATACTTTGTAACACATGATCTCGGAACATAAAAATTTACAACTAAACGTGCGAATATCATAAACAAAAAGTGTCAAAAACCGCGAAATCGGGATAATCACTCGAAGTTTTTGCTTAACTTTGCCATAAACGGAGCTCATAAACTATGTCACTGAACCTTGCGCTACATGTGTACGAAGTCTACACAATATGCAATAAATTACACAAAACTGTTCCGGATTGATAAATATTTATAATCGATTAACGATAATTAATAAATAATAATAGTAAAAATTAAAGAAAAAATATTTACATGTCCCACTTCATCTTGACTTGGCTAACCGTATATTCTTCCACCTTCTGAAACCACACACTCCAAACTGACCTCAAACGTCTCGTTGGAGTGGGTTATATCTGCGATGATTGTCTAGATCATTATCATCTGCTTTAAACCAAACGGAAAACAATGTCTTAAAAAATAAATTGTTACACGCGTGAGATAAGCGATTAATCAGATTGTTCACGATCGAATATCAGACGGCCTGGCTTTGATACCATTTTCTAATAAACGGAAAAATACAAGCGAAAGATCGGTTTCTAAAGGTAAATATTTGTGAGATTATTTTAGCAGGTTTAATGATTTTGTTACGCGTGCGATTAGCAATATTATATTGTGATTAGATCATTCACAACCAGCTAAACTCGGATCAAATATTGACCGATTTCATTGGTTTTAAATACTTGACGCTTGTTTAACTATAGCAGACATGTATTTTCACACTCATGTACAGAATCTAAAGAACGAAATTTAAAACTGGCCTTCGGTACTCACGGTTTCTGACACTGCGTGTCCTCTACTGACATTGTAATTCCACAATATTTTGCTCTATTACTTTACTAGATCGATCTGCTTTGGGCGCGCAACTAACTTAAACTGTTTTGAATTATGACAGAGTGCTCCAGTTGAGGAAATTATTTTAAGCGCTTTTGATAAACATTCCACCAATTTAAATTTTTTATGCCTAGCGTTGAGAAAATAGAACTGATAGTTTTATAGAAGTTGAACGGAAGTCTGCTTTTACCTTGAGGATGTCTAACGAAACCTGATTTTCGGGATTATGTAATGTTGCGAATTGAAAGGATAACTGTTTCAGGTAGACCGAAGTCCTCAACTTGTCCTCGTCTTGAGTGATTTAAGGTGATTAGTTTCTTCATAGTGCTCTCATCAGCGATGTAATTAGATACACATCAAATTGTTGATTGATCGCTGGATTTTAAAAGGAAATGGTTATTTATAGAGTTTTATTAATCCTTTGTCTTATCGGGTTCTCTAGACGGATGAATAGGTTAAAAATAATCACGCAGTACTGTGTAAATTGCAACATGAGACGAGAAAGTGTAAAAATATCCACACCTACTTGAAGCTAGTGAAGTTGATTGATTCAGATAGTAGGACATTGAAAAGTTATAGGCTTGTCAAAGTTTGGGCAACGGTGCTTAATGTTGTGCCGTTTTCGAAACTGTGCTGTGCCCTCCATCGAGACCTCAAGCCGAAAAATTAATTTGCAAATTTTGTTGCCAAGAGCAGCACACCTATGCAAAAGTCGCAGATAGAAGGTTAACTTGTTTCATATGACAAGTCATTCACTTTTGATTAATCCGGTGAAAACTTCCTTCAATCTAGTCGACGACAATTCCTCATCGGGCCTCTAGCGTACTCTACTTAATTTAAAATTCTCGCTGTGTTCAATTGAATTTTTATTGATTTGTTTACGCACCGGAAGTATTTACACCGACCGCAGTTGCTTTTTGCATTGAATTTAAATTTTAGGAGCCTTGGTGTAACGGAGTGGTCAATTAACCAACCGCAGCGAATGCACGTGTGGCGGCAATTTATTTAAATTAAACAATTATTATTATGGTAATGCTGCAGCATTTCGCTTCGCACGACCTTACGAAATCGCGAAATCATATAAAACAGTTTTTTGATCAAAGTTAATTAGTTTGTTTGATGCAGTGTTTTGTTAGGACGCCCATTCTGGCATGGGAAAATGTGGCACGTGTATGTGCTTAATTCCCAAATGATTAATGCAAGCTTAAGGCGGACTTTGTAAATTTGCTAAATGTGTTTATGCTGACACACACGAAGAGCGAAATTAGGAAGAGCTAAAACCGGCTTTAACTGGAAAATTCGGATCGGGATGATTAGAAGAATTGTCGTTTTCCCGAAGTGTAAATGTTTGCTCATTGGAAAATTGCTTGATGAGATGCACGATCAAAGTTCGTGTGGATTAGCGATTTTCTTGTTTATTTGCACGGGATTTAAAGTGTGGCACGTTTTAAAAACTTATAGGATTTCTATTTCTGTCAAGAAAACTAGATAACATAGTTGGTATACAGTGTGCGATTTTCTTCTTCATTATAATATTGTTCATTCTATACACGAGTACATACAATGTCCATATCATTATCAAAGAAGGAAACGCATTTCCATGTTGCTATTTTTTCATATTACGCTCTCTAATTCTCGGTGTTAAACGAAGGATTTGTTGGATTATCGGATTTGTGTGATACTGACAAATAAAATTTGGTTGTATGATGAAATCCGAAATGAAAAATAGGGTTAATTTATTAGTCTTTGGTCTCTGAATCAACACTCAATGTCGAGGATGATTAAAGACTTTCATTAATTGCGTGCTAATGGATGTGCGATTAAAATAGCAACTGATCTGTTTTTTTTCGTGTTATAAATTTAAAAATTACAGCTGCAGCTTTATTCAAGGACTCTGTGATATAACCACTTTGTTGTAAAATTATTTCACCGCAAACATGCAACATTTCCAAATGAATCTTCGAAAAACTCAATTTTACAGAACGCAGAATTTCGAAATTAATAAGTTATTTACAGAACCACGATGTGGGTGTGGAAAATGTGAGAGTACTGTAGCGGCCATCAAATTTTTCACCGATATATTTGTAGACAATTTTTTTCTAATATTCTAAAAATAAATGTGAAAAATTATTGTTACTCTCATCTTAGAAGGTGGATGGATATTCGGTGTCCCCATAATTAAACAGTGCCCTTCAACACACCATACAGAGATAGACTCGAATCTTGCCTCTGCAGTGTATGTAAAACTGATGTCGTTTAATATGTAGGCTGTTCGTAATGCAACTCTTCGAATTTTTCCAAAAATCCATTTTTTGCGTTTTCAGCTTTCGGATTTTTACTCTTCGTTTTTTCAGTGTTTCGAATTTTTCGTTG